TTTGTGTGATTGGATTGAACAAATTAGAATGTTTGCTCACTCTTTTTAATTTTTTATTTATTATATTTATTTAATGTGTATGTGTGTATTGACTGCATGTAGGTAAGTGTACCCGTGTCGTGCAATGCCTGCAGAAGACAGAAGAGGCTGTTGGATCCCTTGGAACTGGAGTTACGGACAGCTGTTAGCTGCCATGTGCATGCTAGGATTTGAGGCCAGGTCTTTTGCAAGAAAAGTCAGTGTTCTTAACCGCTGAGCCATCTCTCCAGCCCCCAGCACTATATCTTTTAAAGATTTATTTTTATGTATGAATGTTCGCCTGCATATGTGTTTCATGTGTGTGCAGTGCCTGCCGAGGCCACAAGAGGGTGTAAGATCTTCCTGAAACTGGAGTTACGGGTGGTTTTGAGCTGCCATCTAGATGCTGGGAACTGAACCTGGGTCTTCTACAAAAGCAGTCAGTGCTCTTAACTACTGAGCCATCTCTCCAGTGCCTTAAAGCACTTTTTGTTTGAGATAAGGTCTCCCTGTAGCCCTAGCTGGCCTTGATCTCACAGAGGTACACCTACCTATGCTTCCCATTTTTGATGATTCACAGGCATTCACTTGAAGAGGCCCATATTTAACTATGACTCAGCCACCAGCATAGTTTGAGTGTTGGGGCAGGTCATGGTAGTCTCTGAGCCCCTAGCCTTCACATTTGTGAAGCCAAGAAGCTGGAATAAGTGATCTCTTTGTTTCTTTTCCTCCATAGTCTGACACTGTCAGATGGCCTTTAAAATTCAGTACTAGGTGTATTTCAGGAAGAAATTACTCTCATTATTGCTACATATACACATGAGATGATTAATCATCTTAAAGAATCACTGAACCCTTGGTTAGTGAAGAAAACTAAGAGGTGGTGAGTAATGAACTTAAAACTTTAGCCAAAAAAGTGTCTTTAACCCTAAAGTCTGAAGCCACTCTTTATACAAAGCACCAGGGAGCAGAAGCTCACTTCAGAGAAGTGATGGAGAAATGGACCTTTACCTGCCCGGGTCCCAACACAGGTAAGGCATTTCTGTGCTGTTCTGAGCCCACATTGCTATACAATTCTTCAACCAGCACACTGATCTCTTGTCTCATGGAGTGTTTCCATGCTTTATGGCAAACACACTAAATTATACAGTGGGGCACAGAAAAGAAAGCCTTCATGAGGTTAGTTGTTTGGTGTGATTGTTAGTATTGATTGTTGACAGGGTCTAGAATCAGCAAACAGACCTCTCGGCACATATGTGAGGGATTTTCTAGATTGGGTTAATTAAGGTAGGATGACCTACCCTAACTGTGGGTGGCACCATTCTCCAATTGAATAAAAAGTAGAAAACCAGCTGAGCATTCACTGCCAGCTGCTTCCTGATTGTGGACCCTGTGTGACCAGTTGCTTCATGCTCCCTCCACCATGACTTGCTACCATAACCAACTGCATCCCTTATAACTGTAAGCCGAATAAACCCTTCCTTCCTTCTTCATCTTGCTTCCTGTCAGGTATTTCATTACAATAATAAGAAATAACAGATACAGGTGGTATGTGTGAGCCACTGTTCCCTTTACTATAAAAAAACTGGAGTCTTCCAGTATGAGACCAGTAGAGCCAGGTTACAGTAGAAGTAGGCTCAAAACACACAAGCACCTGACTGTGTCTCTGTGTGGACAAGTGTATTAAGTTCAAGTTCAAAACATTTCATTTCTGCAAATCTTATTTGTTTTATTTATGCTTTTTCTTCTACCTATTTGGGTACTGACAGCCAATGGTTCCTTTCCCTAGGTCTAAGCTTTCTTGGTATATTTGTAAACACAGACACAGACACAGATGCAGACAGACAGACAGACAGACAGACACACACACACACACACACTTATTTTAAAGTACAATTGCCCTGTGATCTAGAGGAACAAAAAAGAATCACCAGGTATACCTGGAATTTCTTTCCATGTTTGTCTCCCTCTAGTGAGCTCTGGAGGTCAGATCCTCTTTACAACTATTTTACGACTCCCTACTTTGAACACAGTAGGTACTCTACTGATATTAAAAAAATAAAAGCCAGGAGATAGGGCTGGAGAGATGGCTCAGTGATTAAGAGCACTGGTTGCTCTTGCAGAGGACCCAGGCTTGGCTTTGACACCCACAAGGTGGCTAAAAGTCATCCATAACTCCAGTTTCAGGGGGATTCAATGCCTTCTTCTGGCCTCCTTAGGGACTGCACACACATGGTACACATATACACATACAGGCAAATTACTTGTATACATAAAATAAAAGTAAACGTTAAAAAAAAATTTTTTTTAAGCCAGGAGATGATCTTGCCTGGGGGTTTGTAAAAATTTTTTTTTTTCTTCCAGTGTTGTGGATTGAATCCAGGGTCTTTGAGCATGCTAGGCAAAAACGCTGCAAATAAGCTATACCCCCAGGCCCAGAAACAATTTTTTTTTTTTTTTTTTTTTTTGAGACAAGGTCTCGTGTACCTCAGTCTGGCCTCAAACTCTCTATGTATGATCTTGAACTTCTGATTCTCCTGGCTCTACCTCCCAAGTGCTGGGATTACAGGTGTGTACCACCTCAGCCAGTTTATACAATTCTGAGGACTGAACTCAGGGCTTTGTGCATGCTAGGCAAGCACTCTATCAAGTGACCCCCAGGACTATAAAATTATTAAATCACATTGATTACAGCAGCCCTTGGGTTCACCCTATTAGGAGTAAAGTCTTGTGCACAGGAGCTGGATGTGGCATTCTCACCTCTCACTCTCATCTGCAGCCTTCTCTGCCTCCTCCAGCTTCTGCAGAGCTGTGGCCAGACGCTCCTGAGCTCGATCCAACTCTTCCTCAACCAGCTGGATGCGTCTGTTCAAAGAAGCTACATCGGCTTCAGCCTAGGCAGAGAAAGTGAAAGATATTTCAGAGCTAGGAGGAGTGAGGGGGGCACCTTCAGGAAGTGGCCAGTACTGAGGTGCTGGGCCCAGACAGAAGTCTGGGCCCGGGTGTGAGCTACCTGTCAGTGTATTACAAGCCCTGGCCAACTCCAGAGTTCTCACACAGGAGTATATATGGATTTATATAGCAATATATTTGAATATATACAAACCTAGGCATACAGTTCAGCAGACAAGTGGGCCATCAGCCACACTCTCATAGGCCTCCTTCTACAGATTCCAACATCTTTCCCTTACTTGCTCATTGGAGGACAGCTTCCTCACAGGTAGCTCACTGGAGACTGGAGGTATGGACACAGACAGTAGGCTCAGCCACATGAGACACTAGCAATATAATCAGAAATTGGAATCCTGCGTCTCATTCCACTTTCCTTTCTCTGAGCTACTTTCTCAAAGGAGCCTTATAAAGGAGCTAAGTGTTTTAAAATTAGTGGTTTTAAAAATACAAGCCACATGGAGGCCCAGTACCATCTAGAAACTTCCTTTTCACCCCACCTTTTCAGTAACCTCTTTAGAATAACTGGCCATACTGGAATAAAGCCAAGATAAATTTCCCAAGTGTTTTTGACCTAAGCTTACTGGAATTTCTTAAAGGCAAGGCTGCTGTAAGAAAGGAATCACAGGCCTAAGGAGAAAAGCAATAGAGACACTGTTTTTACTTGGAATTTAGCTTTGAAAGAAAATGTTTCTTTCTTGGGAGACAGTAAGTTCTATGCACTTACTATGATGAGCCTGGGAATAGTTGCCACACTGGGCTGAAGACTGATCCAGTACTGCACGGAAGTGAAGGTGGGACTTGCTAATTAGGCAGCAAAATATTCATCCTCACTCGAACCTGTGTTCATAAAGTGTTGATGGGTCCTTAGAACATCTGGGAGTCAATATTCTAACAATTACAATATACATCTCAGGACCCCTGCTAGTTTTTGTTATGCATATCTCTGCTTTTACTGAACTGTCTGCTGCTCACATTCAGGACATTGGCTCTTTAGAGAGCCTGGGCTAGTAAACATCTACTGGAGGAGTACATAAAATCACTCTAATTTAAACAACGGCAACTTTCATAGCTCATCAGAGTTTGAAAAGCATGTACAATTAGAGAGAGGTGGCGGTCATGGCCTTGAGTCAAAGGAAATCCAAATCATTTAGCTCCTTGCTCATGGTTCATGCAAGTTTTATCTGGGGAAGCTCAGGGAACAGGACATCGCCCACCACAGTGAATGACTACAGTCTTCTCTATACAAACATTTAAACAACATTTATCTCAACAACAATAAAAAACTGCCATGTAGTAAGTGGCTGCTGGAGGCAGGAAGCAGGGCCAATGTGAAATGAACTGGAGGAGGAACAGTCGCAAAGGAACCAGCCCACGAGGTCAATCATTATCAGCAAACAGCTTATAACTGGGTCAAGCCAGGAATGTCAGGCAGATGATTGGCTTCTGGTTAGTTTTCTTTGCAGGCTGAGGGCAATAGGGATAACCAATTTCTTAAATACAGGGAACTGCTTTTTAATAATCAGTCCTATTTTTTAATCGGAAAGATACACATATGAAAGCCATAGTTTTGGGTCAGGTTAGGGTTCTTCATTTTTATTTACGTGCTATTTCCAGGAGAATTCTATTCATTTTACCAACAGGGGGTGGGAGGTGGGAATGGTGATGAGCAAACCACCCTGAAAACTGAAACAAAAAATAGAAAGTGGGGGCTGGAGAGATGGCTCAGTGGTTATGTACACCTGAAGAGGATCTGGATTTGGTTCCTAGCACCTACATGAGTAGGTGAGTCACAACTGACTGTAATTCTAGTTCCAGGGGATCTGATGCCCTCTGCTGGCCTGTATGGGCAGCAGGCATGCACATGGTGCACAAACATGCATGCAGGTAAAACACTCATACACATAAACAAATCTTAAAAAAAAAAAAAGAAAGAAAGTGGATTGGGACTGATGGTCTCACCCCTGGGGTTGTTCTTTCTTAACACCAGAGTGAAAGGTTCTCTACCTACCATTCCCCAAGCCCCAGCACCCCAAGCTGTGCCTGCATACGAACAGACCCAGTATCAGAACAATTCCTGCAAGAAAATCAGTCATTAGAAAAGGCATCTCAATCCTTTTTTAAAAGGCAGGGTGTTCTAGTAGGTGGCAGGTAGATCACATAAGGGCACAGAATATTTGCTCTTTAGCCTAGACCTGAAGCATACTGGCCCAGCAGCTCCAAGCAGGTCAAGGGCTTACAAGTATATAAAGTTTACCTATGCACACCCTCCCTGGGAAAACCCTGCATTCTGCTTCCATGGGCCCTATTATGCTGGTCTCATAGAAATTTTTAAGAGTTCCTCAGAATTCAAGACCAGTTAAATTTTGTAATTAAAGCTTTCTCTTACTGCCACCTGCCCCCTCCCATTCTTTTGGGGCAGGGAATCAATCTGCAGTCTAGGCTGCCTGTGATTCTCCTGCCTTAGCCTCAAGTGTAGCGATTACAAGCATGAGTTACCATACTCAGTACACTCGTCCCCCATTTATTTTACTCTGTGTTCCATAGGCCTATGCACCTATCACTTCCATCAGCTTTTATTTTCATTTTGTTTTTTTCTCAGGATTGAGGCTTCTCCAGATATTTTCTGAGTCTCTATGGCAAAGCACCCAGGTAGGCTTAAATACATGCCCACAGCCACATGCCTGTCTGTTATTTAAAAGCAGACAGAAATAATAAAGCATTTGGGGAGGGTGAAGACTTTGGATGCAAATTATTCCTAGGCTGAGTTAGGTTTTTTTCTAACATGGCCCCCATGTCAATGCTACCAGCAAAGCCTTTCCATTTGGGATGATACTTTCTTTTATTCCAAAAGTGCTACTGTGTCCCACCATCTAATGAGCTACTCAGGAGACTGTTGTATTGATGAGGTTACAAACTCCAGTTAAATCACCACTCATTGGATCTAAGGATCATTGGTGATCCTTAGAGTTGCATGTCTCCTGCCCCTGTAAGTACTAGCTACCTCCCTGGAAGTCAAGGGCAAGCTCACCCTTTGCCCTGCCCCCAAACAAGGAAGTAGCTACCTTCAGAAAAAAGACACACATACCAGTCCCAACAAGGTATTATGCAGACATGTGGGCACAACACTTTAACAGAGCAAAATGTTATTCCAAGCCAGATTTGAATGAACCTTTAGAAAGTCCAAGATTTTCATGAAATTCACATATTTCAGGCACTATAGAAAAAATAAATTGTACTTTGAAAAGCAATGCTCTCAAATATGTTTTCAAAGTCCTGCCTGAACTAGAGCAGAGCATGGTACGATCAAAGGTCAGATCTTTTTATTTCATGTAAACTGTAGTTCTCAGAGAGGGTTTCACCCAACTTGCTGTGTAAGACCAAACTGACTAGGGCCAAGCTAAACTTCTGCCCTTATATGGTCAGGCAAGGGGGAGGTTGGGGGGACGACACACACTAATGACATTAGGGGCACTCCTTTGGATAACAGATAAACACAACCTCCTCTATCTAGGCCAAGCCTGTAATTTATGAGGCACATTTGTATAACAAGAGAAAACAGATGTAGGCAAGTTACTGAAGTGCCTTTGCTGTGTCTCCATGGGAAAGTGGGCACCCAGAGTATAGTATACATTCCAATTACAGCCACTCTAGAAGGGCCAAGGCAAGAACAGAACATGCTCATTTCCCAGTTGCAGAAATAGCCGCCAATGCTAGACTTAGGAATTTTTGAAAACTGATAATTTCCCATGATTTAATCAAGCTGCCTATTAATAATCTACTGGCTGCAATTGTAAGCCTCTTCATCTGCTGGGTTCTGCCCAAAAATGAGGAAAGAGGATTGGCTTTTTTGCTTAAAAAAAAAAAATGTGTGTGTGTGTATGTATATACACATACATATATATCAACACGGGTCACAAGATATAGAGTCAACCATTACATCAGGCAAAGCAGTTTCATTCCAAGATTTTGAAGGGGCCACACACCTTGGGAAAACAAACTAGGAGGAAATAAAGGGACACCTGTTTTTTTTTTCAAGGGAAATGAGGGTTTAATTAGGTCCAATTAATGCCAGTCAGTTTGAGTCTCTGAGTACCTGAATATGGCCCAACTCTTCAAATATTTTTGGTAGTGGCTCATAGCTTTGTCACTAAGCCTTTATCTTTGCTGCCAAGAGAAATTGTTACTGCTAGCTTCACTCACAGCCTAAGCTATGTTTAATAACTACCTATAGCATCCATCTTTAAGTTCCAGGGGTTTTTATTAGTTGTTTTTTGTTTTTGTCTTCCTGTAGCCCCAGCTGGCTTCGAACTTGCTATGTAGACCAGGCTGGCTTCCACCTTACAGAGATCCATGTGTGCTGGGATTAAAGGTGTGTGCCACCATGCCTGGCATAGCTCTAGTTTTAAAGAAGTAACCTCTCAACTTGCAAAAGTCTCTAAATTGCTACTGTATGGGTCTGTGTCCAATTGCCCAGAAAGACACTTTGCGAAAAATGACTTTAATTTTTATAAAAAAATGATTTAAACTGCTTTAAATAAAGACATAAAGTTGTGAAAAGAATGGAAGTCTTGTCCTCATCCACCTAGCCCAGGAGTGCTATTTTAAAAACAATGCACAGAATAGTGAGTGTGCATAAAAGTAGTTAAGTGGCCTTTATAAAATTGCCCACCACCAGTCCCCTAGGCCAGAGCCTATTCAAAAGCCATCATTAATACCTCTTCAACCCACCAAAGATTCCTTCCAGCCTGCACATTTCCCCTCCCCAATTCCCCAAAAGTAACTGTTTATTAAAAGCATTAAATGGGGAGTTTTATGTGTAGTAAAGTGAGTAGGCCATTTTTAAAAGCCCTTGCCAAGTAGTGATGGTAAAAATCCCTGGGTGGAGTAGTGCTGGGTAGTGTGAGTAACAGGACTGTGCAGGCAGAGCTAGCTCCATGGTGCC